GTATAACTGCATAGTAGTGTGTGAAAATTTATCATAGGGTTCTTTATGGGGCTGATCAGAATCCCACTAAAGGGAGTATGGGGTCTGAATTAGACCCTAGGTACAGAATTGCAGTAATTTGGACTTCAAAGTTGTTATCCAGACAGAGCCAATGGAAATGACTACTGTGCCTTTGAGTTTTGGTCTCCAGTCTGTCTGCTAGGAAAAGGAAAAGTGCCTTTAAAACGGGGAGCATGCAGATATTGGCCATGTGTTTTACATTTCTTCTAGAATCTGAAGCGTTTTCTGTGTGATCAACTCAGTCATTGTGTGGTTAGCAAATGATTGCTTTTCATTAGAGACCCATTGTCTCCTATGCAAATGCATCCTTAAATGCATAGAAGTGGATGGGGAAATTGTGCTTGGCAAAACTGAGCATAGTTTTGGCTGTGTCCGGCCAGGTACCATTGCAGTAAATCCTTGTGAATGCCAGTCTCCAAGGGCTCCAGTTACTGTGGTCTAAGAAGTCGATGAAATAGTGAAAGAGATTTACAGAAATGTGTGCAACCTTGATGTTGAGTGCTGAGAGCTGACATGTTTCATCATCCTGGCTCTGCTGGTGTGTAGAGACTTGTTGAACTGTGCTTTCTTGGCCTTGAGTCTGAGCTTTTCTGAACAGGTTACCATCTTAATTATACAAACACTGGGAAAAAGGCAAAGGCTGTTAATTTGAATTATGGAGGAGGTTTTCAGGCTTTAGTGCATTGAACAATCTCCTCAAGGTTATGTGGGGAGTGGGCTGCTGTGGCTGGTATGTAAGGACAAGCTGTTTTGTTGAGGTTGCAGGTCATCCTTGGGTTTCAGCTCAATTTGAGGTTAGTGGTTTGAGGGTAGTGCATCTGACCCACTGTTGTTTTACTGCTACTTCATGTTTTCACACTTCCACTAATACAACTGGAGCTTTAGCCCTGTCTATTGCCAGTTTATGGAAAATACTGACATTCCTAATTGTTTAATAAATCATTAATGAAGCTTTTAGTGTGCGAGAGGGTGTGCATATTGATTTTGTGTATGCATATTTAGGTATTGGGACAAGAAAGTAAGGCTGCTGAGAGACTCCTGAGAGATCTAGAGAGAGGAACATGCACAAATTATAATGAGGTATAAAGGTTTTCCATTCCTTAGGATGGAGAAGTTGACATATTAAATCGCACACACTCTAATGACTGACTCAGAGAATTTGAAGGAAATAACAGCTGTGCACATTAAAGCTTAGAAATAGAAACTTCATCAGTCAGTAGCAGTTCAGAGTGAATGGAGAAATCATGAAATTATTAATTATGGTTTTTAGAGAAAGGAAACATAAAGTCCCAACTCTCCAAAGGCAGAACACTGCCTTCAGTGTCTGCCAGGAATCAGCCCCTCATCCTGCTGGGCTGCTCTGTAGAGATGGAGGCTTTTGCCCAACCGCAGGCACCTGCTGCCATTTTTGATGCCCTAAGCCAACACAGCCGTCCCCCTGGCTAGCAGATGCGACACAGGGCATAGAGAAGGCTCCTGTCCTTCTGCAGCAGCAGCTGGATGCCCTGAGGCATCTCGGATGGCAGCAGCTGCTGCTGTTGGAGGACTGAGCGCACGTACGTGGAGGCACGGACTCGCTCTCACTCGCATCATTAATACACAGTCACCTGAAGCATCTCAGTAGTTCACAGCAGTGTTTGCAGAGGGTAATTGCAGAAAGCAATGAACAGTTTATCTGATTTGAAATTCAGGAGAATTTTTGAGATGAATAGAAGGCTTATTTAGATTAAAATCTGACCGTGATACAATGTTATAAACTCTCCCTGTGCTGGAAACTGTAGTTAAAAATCTATGACTCAAAGTTGCAGTGAATGGTTGTTTTCCTAATGACCTCAAATCCATGAAATGATTCTAACATTTGCCTTTTTATATATTCATAGTTAAATATAACTTGAATGTTGTCCTAATTACATTCTCATGTTAATTTAGCTCTGATTCAGAATTTCTATCATTATTCTTTGTAGAATTATTTTGAAATGATGGAAAGTTCAGTAACGATGCTCCAGTGTGTGATTGTGCCTTTGAATTATTTATCACATTCAAAGACAGAAATATGGTTAAATCTAGTTTGAGTTGTAAATGAGCCTTAGTAATGTAAGGAGGAAGTGAAACTCCTCTTTGCAGAAGGACGTGGTTTATGGGAGCATCATTTGATAATGCAGGAGCATCACGCGGCCCCACGTCAGCAGAGAGCCTCATAAAAAAACATCCATCGCACCAACTGGCAAATGCTATCTGAGCAGATAAGGCAGATAAAGAGTGGAGGAGGAGAGAGAGATACATAGACAACTTGCACAAATGACAGAACAGATTAGTGATGGAATTAAGAAGAGAAAACAGATGTCTTGCCTTGGTCAGCAGCAGAATTCACACGGCTCGTGCTCTCTTTACTGCATGCTTTGGGAGTGAGCTCTCACAAGGGTGTTTAGCCCTTGGTTTTTACAATGCATCACAGTGACAAGTAGTCCAGTGTTAATACATGGCTGTAGAAACTATGATTAATGCAAAAAAATCATACCTGTGGCCCTGAGCCAGGTAGAGAACAAACAATTGCTGGTGAGGTGTGAGCAGGGCTGAGGGGGAGTGAGGAATTCTGGAGGAGGAAAGGAAATTGTCTTAATGTAAGCAGCAGTTTTGCTAGAGGTAAGTGAGGGGAAATTCTTCATTTATAAATGGTTCGTTGACCCATGATAATAAAGCAGTGCTGCAGAAGAAGGATAATTATCTACTTAAGTATCAGATGCCCTAAGGGTAAAAGCTTCCCTTCTCTCCTTTTGAAAAATGAACTCAGATTAAACGAATGTCCTTTTTCCTGTTTTACTGTTGACATGGATTTCCTTTTTATGAGTAGAATTAATTAGTTTTTCTATTCCTTTATTCCTGGTATGGAAATCAGGTCTGCCAAGCAAGTTTCCAGCTCTTCCCTTGGGCCCTGAGTTCAGCCAATAGCATCCTTTGTGAAGATGCTTTGTACAGTGTGCTGGGAAGGCACAAATAAATTACAGGAGCTCTATTATGCCCTGTAGCTCACCAGGAGAAACAGCTTCCTAAAACTAAAAATCCACAAAATGAGACTTCTTTCCCTAATCAAGATTGGTTCATTTCTACGTATGTTTGCTAAATATGCATTTCTCCTTCCTTAAAGTATTTTAATGTCATGATTTATAAAAAGAGGACATGAGTAGTGGTGGCATAGCTGCTGTTGTACTGAGTGAGGAAGGGCCAAGTTCTCAAAGCAGATTAATGTCCACAGCTGAGGCCGGGCCTCTCCTGTTGAGAGCAGAGAGAGCTGCTAGCTGTGGAGCTTGCTGGAAAAATCTGCTCCCAGTTAAGCAAATATCTATTGCAAGATTGTCTGTCCTCATCTGGACTCTAAAAAATTATCAAAACCTGCCCCTACTTCTTTGCAACCAGAAAATGTCTGCTCTCCCCCTCCAGTCAGAATTTTAATTGAGATTCCAATAATATGAAGCTTGATGAATGCAAACATATTTCTCTGTTTTTGGAAATAAAACATTGTTTGCATGCGTTAGTCATTTTTTGTTTCAAATGTCTCCTGACGTTCTTGAGGCATCTTAACTCATGTCAATGTAACCTCTGTGTGAACCTGTTACAACTACAGAGCATCTCCTAGTTGCATTTCTTGGAACATGACGAATGTTCCTCAATACCTGCAGGCTTTAAGATGCAGTAAAAATAAATATTACTGTAGTACAATGGCACGGAGCTTAATTTTCTTCCAATAGTCCTTTGAGCACTCGTTTTAATACTGAAAAAACAAGAAGTTGTTAATTTGCCTTGCCTTTGGTCAGGAGAGTTCAACTGCCATTAAAGGTGATTGTAAGAGCACAATACAAACACAAACTGTAAATCAGAAAAAAATTCCTGTCTGCAGGGAACAGAAATTAGAAGCGAGTCCCAAGTGCTTTCTTGTCTGATTTACACAACTGAAGCTCTGCAAAGAATTCTGGACATTATTAATAATGTTACAAAACTGACTTTCAAGTGTGGAACCATAGCAATTATTAATTTCTGTGAACGCAGCAAGGCAGGGGGCTGTGAATAGCATCTGTGCTTTTTGTTGTTTACTTTATAGTTTCATTTCACTGTATCATGAAGCACTGTTACCAAGGTAGGATGAAATCAAAGTATTTGCAGTGTTGTGAACAGAGTGCTTAACAGGGAAAAGTCTGAAATATCTTACTGTGTTTCTAACATCATATAGTATTTATGACAGGTGAGCACTTATAGAATCATAAATCATTTAGGTTGGAAAAGACCATGAAGGCCCTTAATCCCAACCTACCTCCATCATGCCCGCTGCCAAACATCCCACAGAGCCACATCTCCACAGTTCTTGAGCATCTCTGGGATCGATGACTCCACCACTCCCTGGGCAGTATATGTGCCACTGCCTCCCTACTCTTCCTGAGAAGAAATTTTTCCTAAAGATTCCTTGCTATTATCAGCATAGTGTCAGTTCCTCACATTTAGATAAGTAAAATTTAGAGGTGTTTGATCAAGATTTTTAAATGACTCAGGTCACAAACCCAAACCCATCTTAAAATCCTTTGGCTTTCACCCATTTTTAAACACAAAAAGGAACGTCTGTTACATACAAAGATGCTGCATTCCAACAGTTCTGTGTGTAGCTCGAAATCCTAACTTTGAGCTTTTGAAAATTTTGCTTTCCTTTAGGTGTGTTAATAGTGGCACATGAACCTTGCTTCAGTCATCGGAGGGGCTTGAGGAAACTTCTGAGCCAAGCATCATATGATTGAATGTATTTAGCCACGTGTTTTAATTGCTGTAACCCTCAGAGCAGGAGGAGCCTGTGTAATTCAGAGGTGATCAGAAACATGTTACAAACTGGGGGGTGAGATACTTGTCCTGCCAAGTCACTCAGATATATGTGTGTGCCTTGACAATCCCACCTTCAGATGTTCTCGTTTGCCCTCTGCGGCCGGCGGAGCGTTTCCGTGACCTGTGTCCTGAGGAGGTGGCTGATTTATTTCGTACGGCTCAAAGGGTTGGCAATGCAGTGGAGAAACACTTCTGTGCCACCTCGCTCACCATCACAATTCAGGTTTGTGAACCAAACTTCCAAACTTCTTCCCTAGGCCCGTGACAAAAGGCCGTTCAAAACTTTAGGGGGCAATAAATGCACAATAATAACTAAAGGAAGTGGGCAGAGGGGAAGCACAGTAATGTTAGAAGATTGACCTTCTAGAGAAGGTAACCCACCGCTTGGGATGGAAAATGGGAATTCCTGCTCTCCTGCTTGCCCCTGTTCATATGCAGGTAGATAGAAGTGGCCATCTAAATATGCTATCAATTCAGACCTTTCAGATTTGTGTTGGGTTTGTACTCCAAAAAAGAACTCTATTTAAAACTATTTCAGGGACCAAGCCTTTTTTTATCAGAATAAGACTTTAAGAAAGCGTGCTTTGACTTAATTCTCACGCATCTGATTTTATATTCACGAGGATCAGAAACCTATTGCTAGCTATTCAAAAATACAATCTGAAAGCATGAAAATTAACAACTGTGGTTTTTGTGGTCCAAGATGCAGCTTCTCAATTTGCTGTGGCCTGATGTGGAAAGGCACAAGTCTGAAAACTTTGGGTGGAAGGGTCCCCTGGAGAATATGCTAAATTACCATGCAGTGAAATTGGATGTAAATGATTAATGAGTGATATTTCTGAATCCCTATGTGTGATCCTTGTTAGTTCCTCTAACCTGAGACTTCTCCCTTTGCTTACAGGATGGCCCTGAAGCTGGACAAACGGTGAAGGTGAGTGCTTATTATGCAGAATACAAATTAAGAGACAATTAGAAGAACTAATAAAAAATCAAAGCTAGTCATCTGCAGACCATTGCTGTACCATTATGTTATCTTGAGATCAAAAGATCCCAAGTGTGCAATAGCTGTAAACGCTTTTTATTGAAACTGCACAGGAAGATATTTACAAGTTTTTTTTTCTAGACTAAATTTTTCAGTGATGAAAATATCTTTTCCAAACTACTGGGTGTATTTATACAAAGAAAGCCATAAAAAGTGGCATCTTTTCAAGTTTCTTCTTTGTTTTATGGAGGAAAATGTTGCCCTTCCGTTCATCATCTCTTTGTTTGTCTTTTTATTGCCTAATGAATTGTAGCTAATTATAGGAACAGTTAAGCTAAACCATGTTATGAAAATACACCTTTTGTCTATGCTCTCTCTCTAAATATTCATATCACATTCTTGTTACAGAAGTTCAGATGTAATGGAGCCAGTGAAGCTTAAAAACAGATTTTAAGTGTACTTCTGAAAAAAAGGTGGGGGATGGAGGGGAAAAGGATTTATGACTATACTCTCTACTTGAGTAATAACATAGATAACATCCAAGATGGCTCTCCAGCCATGTTTCACTGTCTCTTATTTCAAATGCATGTGTAGTTAGATTGTACGCCTAAACATTAGATAAAGGCTATTTTTTACGTTTGGAATCAAAGGAAAGTCAAATATGGCTATGGTTTAGTACTTTGTAAAATCAGATTAGATGGCTCAAAGAAGCTGCTTGGGTTGATTAAGATAACTCTAACAACCAAATAGCATATAGAAACATTCCAATTTGCTGCATTGGCCTTATTTTTCCTGTGCCTTTTTGTTGTCTGCTTTGAATATTTAGCAGGGAGGTGATAGGGAGAGAAAAAAAGAAATTAGAAAATCCCCACGCTTTGGAAAGCTGAGCAGTGATAAAGGAGTGTAATAGAATTTACTGCAGTACTGCAATAAAATAGATTCTTCAGGTCATGGCTTAGAGTGTATTGGGTGGGTTTCACTGGGAATGCTATTTGATGGGTGAAAATGTCATGGTTTAAATACTTCTCTGAATAAGTTTCATTATTAAACACCAACATGTCTTAGCAAATGGATCACAGGATTTCTTTTACTATCTTGGACAAGTATTTTTTCCTGCATAAAAAAGAGTTTATGGGGATGAGTATATTAAAATGTGAGAAAATTTGCTGTATGAACACAACCAGATGCAAAAATCCCCATCTTGTGTGACTGTGAACAATAACAGATGTTTCTGTAAGTCTTAGGAGGGGAAGAGATTCTGTATAATTCTGTATTCATGTTGAATTCAAGACAATACAATTCATGTTGTATTCAAGACCATTAATCTGTCCAGTACCCTGCAAATGATACCCACCCTTAGCACTTCCATCTCACACTTTTAATGAGCAGTGAGATGAAAATGACCCACTCTTACAGCTGCGTACCCCAGACTCCATAATAAAGTCTGTGTGCTCCTAAACTGGATGTTAACAGTTTGCTTTTCTCTACTTTTCTGCATCATTGGGCAACACTGTAATTCATCATCATCACTTTAGGATGTTTATCATCTGAAACTGCCAACAACTATTTTCTTCAGAGAACTTAGAGCTTTCAAAACTGGAATTGGGAAGAAATTACTATGATCAAGATCTTCTATAAAGTGAACAATAGGGAGGGTACATAAATAGCTGGTTCTGCTTAAATTCCTTTGAATCAAGAAGTTTGAAAAAGCACCTGTATGATCTATGAGTAATTTATGAACTCTGAATTCAGTGGGCCATGTGTTTATGAATGTGTTTTTTTTCTTCACTGTTATCCTGTTTTCCTCTAAGGGAACTTGTAATTAAAATTTCTGGAACAGACTTAATATTAGAAAAACATTCTAATAGTAAGAATAGCAGAGCATCAGAATAAGTATCCAAGGGAGTTTGTGGAGCTCTGTTTCAATAGGGTAGGCAAGCATGTGTCAGGAGCTAATTAGGTATAGCTGATCTAGCTTTGAATGGAGGCACATACCAGATGGCTTCAGGAGTCTTTTCTATCTGTGTTTTGTATAATTCCATATACCTGTATAAATGTGGGCTGCTGCATGTGTTCCTCAGGAATTGAATTACAGGAAATAAAAAGAGTACTGGCTGTTAAGCTGATAGTTGCAAAACTCCACTACAAAATGGAATGAGCTATCAGCTCAGCAGAAAACAAAAGCTGACTGAGAAAGTTTATCTGACAAAGATTAAGAAATTCTTTTTCATCAAGGAGGTATGGTTGGACCTCAGTTTGAGTACATCTCAGGTCTTTCTTTGCTATGGAGATGGCTGAAATTATATGTCTATGCACCAGGTTTAAAAGAGATTACTTTTCAGTGTGATTTTTGGATAGAATCAACGGTAAGATATTGTTTGCCAGTGTTAGATCTTCGCTGTGATAGTGTGAAACCTGCTGGTGTGTGCAGCTTCCAGACAGACATACTGCAATGTCAGATACTTCAGTGGTGCCTGTATTGAAACCTTACTAGTTATCTAAATGGAACCTGTTCATCTTCTAACAGGTAGCTCCGCAATTGTTGTGATCCTTTCTTTGTAGATACCATCTGCCTTTGAATTTAAGATATCAGAGCCTGCAGAATGGTATTACAGGAAAGCTCATGGTCCTTCCAAATTCTCCCGTTAATGAGATCTGTGTGTTTGTCTTTGGAATAAACGCTATTGCCGATCTTCAGCTCACCTTTACTTTGGAAGTGTAGATGGCTCTTTTCTCAGGCTTTTGCAATTGGAAAGAATACATTTGCTAAGGAATCACATTGCGGGTTTCAGACCATAAAGAAATACAAAGTATTGTTTTGTGATCTTTTCCACAGCTGCCCAAGGGTTGCACGCAGTCTAACCCCATCACCTATTCATGGCAGGGACAGATGGCTCTCCGAAGGTGCTCACAGACTTGCACACTTGGTGCTTTATTGTAAGAAGTTCTTGTACCAACACACAACAGAGAACCTGAGTATCTCTTGGGTCAGCAAGCATAACCATCTTCCAGCATTAAATGCATTCTGAATTCTTATTTCTTCCGACTTGAGAAAAGGAGGAAATTGTATGGAAGTCCTATCTTAAAGAATATCTATATCTGCAATTTTGAGCTCTGTCTTTCTTAGTGAATGCAAAACCTACAGTGTCCTTCTGCCAGGAGTGGAGGATGAGTTTCACACTGGTTCTGTCTGAGAATGCCTTAAATATCCAGGCAATTTCATGGATCAGGGAAATCATCTCTGCATCTTAATGCAGAGCTCTTATTGCTATGTCAAGTGAGTGACGTTTCAAGATTTTCCCTGGTGTATTTTATAGCCTTCTTTCCAACATCAAGTCAGCAAATGCTCTAGCTGCCTTGGTGGATGTATAGTGTAGCGCAGAATAAACTCTCAGGTTTACCTTTTATGTGAGATTCAATCACAAGAAATTCTGTACACTCTGTGCTCTGTAAAGGCTAAACAAATCAAGCTGGCAGGAGCATGATGCAACTAATTTATCTGTAGAGACAAGATAATATTGCACAGCAAGTATCCATTGTGCTAACACATATGAACACACACTCTATTTTGCAGCTGTGTCAAAGTCTCTGTCAGCTCAGCACCTCCACTATTATCCATGGCCTGTTTGCCAATTACAAGTTCACCTAAAGAAATGAGAAATTGAGGCTGATGGTGGCAGTGTAGGAATACGTGCGTAAATTTTTGTGTGTTGCACATTCCACTAATTATTTTACACTGAGAAGATTGCCTAACCATTATTTTTTGATGTGCATGTTTTTCTTTCCCAGATGTTTTTTAATGCTGTGTTAAATCAATCCACCTGGCTTTCATTCCTTAGAAATCTTCACCAGAACTGTGGAGCGTAGGGTTTATTTAAGCCCACAGGAGCTCTTCTGTACTATTTGTCTACTTGTCCCTGAATGTGGAGTACTGGACTTCAGGTCTGAGTCGTTAAATGTAATCAGATCACATTGCAGCCTGATTGCATCAGAAGGATTAAATTCACCAACTGCGGTACTCCTGATGCCTCAGCCTGCTTTCCCTGCAGGCTGGCAGATGTGAGTCTCTGTTCAGTGGAGTATTGGAGGCTACCTTTTTCTCCCTTAAAACAACAGGAAAAAAAAAAAATACTGGCATTTGAGAAATGCAAAAATGTCTTACCTCTAAATGAATGTAAAATTTCAAGTAGAAAACACATGGAAGAAAGAGCAAGCTTTAAGAAAACATTCTGCACTGAAACATGAGCAAATGGTCTTGTTTGCTTTACTCTTAAGAACCATGATTTTTGTGAAAGCTTGTGGGATACCCAGAAATGGTCTGACACAGTACAGCGATCTCTTGAAAGTGCTTTGAGAACCACATTAATATTTGGTTGGAGTGTGTGTAGCATTGCAGCAAATTCAGTAGTTCTAAGGCTGTATATCTGTTTTCAGATAAACATTTTCTTTCTATTATGGTACTGTATTTAGGTTAGAGTGAAGTTTGTAGGATGTTAATGCTGATTGTTTGCAAAACTAGGACTGTAGTGGCCCTTAACAGCAGCTGGAAAGCAGCTGGGGCATCTAGATTATTTGATTCATGCCAACCACCACTTAAAGCCCTTTATTAGCTTTTGCTTCCTACTCACTCTAAATAATAATTCTTGCTCTCTCCTTCAAAAATCTATTCAAAATCAGCCTTGTGTTTTTCTAATGTTCCTTACAGTCCTTTAGCCAGGACTGTGTTTTCTATGACACAACTAACAGATGCAGCCCTAATGTCCCTTTTTTAAATTATTTTTTTTAATATATATCAGGACCTCACTTGTGTTCATTACATACATCATATTGCTTTTTGTTTTTTGTGTTCACAGCCCCAAAAGGCAATGGTTCCAGATGTACCTTTAAACCTGCCTTTAATACACACATAGATTGCTCTGAAAGTAATGCCTCCTATTTATTTCTGTGGA